TGAAAGGTTACAACTACCTGGTCATCAAAGGCTTTAATATCACTCTCATTTCAAATATTCAGTTGTCCCTTGATCCTCCACTATACAGTGATCACAGAAGATAAAATGAAACAGGGAAATACCCAACCCAGTCTGTTTTCCAATTTGAGAACAGATATAGTTAAATATTAGTTGAATGTAGAGAATGACACTTGCTAAAAAGAAAAATAGAAACATTGAGATAATCTGTGTCCCTTCTGTGAAAAGTCAAGTATTTTGTCTTAACTTCCAGAAGAGTAGTTGTAACTTGTAGAAATTAACAACTCAGCATATATTTTGCTTTCCACCAAGACAGATATTGATTTTCTAAAACTTTCTTTTATTACAATGCCCCTTATTAAATGAATCATCATAAATTGGTATCATAGAATAGCATTCATTCCTATTTTCTAATGTTAGCATACTTGTTATCCAACCTTTAGAGAAGGCTCCTAATAACCACTCTGCCCAAACTGACCTGATAGGGATTTATAATTACTCTCATTAGCAGGTATTACCCCACATATTATTTATTACCTATCTTAAGTCCTTCTGTGGCTAAATAATCTGGCCTTAGGCAGGCTTTTCAAAGTACCATGTGGTAAATTCATTCTGTATCATGATGCTAGAACTCTCCTGAGAAATTGGCTCATTATCATTGGAATTCTGATGCTTTGCCATGCTCAGTAAGTCTTTACTAAATCGAAATGAGGGGGATTGTTTTCAGAAAGTTTTAGGCAATTTAAAAATAAGCCAACCTAGACCACAGTATAATTGATTATAGAGTTGGCTACCTTTGTTGAGTACCTGAAATGTGCCAGCACTTCTACAGTAAACCATATGGGAGTAAAGATGGTCCAGAATATAGGCATTTCCCCCAAAGCAGTGAGCATACCTATCAGGTACTTCCAGTGACAAGATTTTCATCAGAATCCATTTAAATATGTTTTATCATTCCATCAAACTTACTTTTGATAGTTTATCATGAAAATGTAAAATGCATTAATCCCATAGCATAAACAGTGACAGTCAACCTGTTCTCTCCATAATTATACAAAAATGAAAGGTCCACATATAGTTGATTTCTCAGTAATAATAAAAAGAAACATCTTTCCTAAATTTAACCCCAAATCTGAATTGTCTCATTCAGTTTAAGTCTCAAGTGAAGTTACTGGGCAGTGTCTCTAAAGTACATCCTGGATAGTAGGTACATCTGTCCTCCTTTCCACGTCAGAATCTTAATTCATTCTCTTCCCACAACAGGCTGGGGCTCATGTAGATTAAAGAAGTTGTTTGGGATTTCACCACTGCCCACTGGAAGGAAGCAGGAGGTCCCAACATACTGCCATATTTAGTTGTTACTATTGATGGACTGGGGGCAGGGATTGTCTCATTTCACCTCAATGTCCCCACAGCTCTAATAGCTTGCCCTGCACCTGTGACATTAACAACATCTCTTTTTTTTTCCACATTTAGAATGATATAGGTAGTTTATAACAACCACCAAAAAATAAGAATAAAAAATCCGTAATAGCTAGTGCTAGGTGAATGCCCATTTGTGCTAGCCTGTGGGTTATTGGGGGTGCTTCATTTTAAATCCTTGTGATAGGCCTGGAATGCCAGAGATACTGTTCCCATACTAGAGGTGAGACGAATGGGCTTTGGCTCTGTAAATACAGAAGCAGCTGTGTGGTCCTTCAGTGAGATTCTGCCGGATCTTCCGTGAGCCAGTCCTGAAGCCACTCATAATCACCTCAACTTGAAATAGGAAAGGCAGAAATTTGTGTTTGTAGTCAGTAACTGCAGCCTTCTGGTTCTTACACACGCAGAGGGAACAGTCTTCATTCTTCATCTCCCACGCTCAGCTCTGTGCACAAAGCCGAGCCTAGCCAACAGTAATTCTCTCTAGAAATGCCTTGTGAGATTTTTCTCTCAGGAGAATGAGGTGGGAGAAGGAAGTGCTGTTGTCAGAGTAAAATACTTCGAGAGAGGAAAATAGAGCTAGCTCATTTGCATTAGCTTATTAGAAAAAATCATTTCTATTGTTCTGTGTCTTTTTTTCCCCTTACTATACCTCATATTCACATCCAATATTGAAATTAGAAATTATTTGTATAACATGTGCTCAGAAATGAAAACCTAATATAATATTTGCCAGTGAATGTGAGCCCTCAAGTTTAGCCCTCTGAAGTCAGATGAAACCTGTGCAGACCACTTGAGAATGAGGCGAAGGAATAAGTGTGGTACAGGCTGACACAGGGAGGGGAAGTATTGAGTCACTGCAGGACCCCATATGTGTGTGTCTACATGTGTTAGAATATTTATTTTTCATAAGCTCCCTCAGAAAATATTTCTGAGGGAAAATGACAATTTTGGGGGTGTGTTCTTTTTGTGTGTTTTTTTTTTAATTGGTTTGGTTTAGTTTGGTTTTTTGGCCCACACTGGGGATTGAACCCAGGGCCTTGCACATGCTAGGTAAGCACTCTGTCACTAAGCTACACCCCCAGCCCTGAAAATGGTAATGTTTAAATATTTTTGCTAAAATAAGATTGTTCCCAATTTTTAAAGTTGTTTTTGAAACATGTTAAAGCATTTGATTTTGGTAAAGAAAAAGATTATTTAAGTTGCATATGGAAGCAATTGTTTTATCATTTAGCTGGAAGTTTTTATAGAGTATTTACTCCTTATAGTAATACTTTTTGGTATTTCTTCTAAAAACAGTCAGAGTCTAAGCCATTCATAGCTACAGTTTAATACCTACTTCTAGTAGTTTGTGAGTAGTATTACCACAGCTTTTCTTGCATCTTACAGATGGAACAGATTTGTAGATAGTCATTAAACAGCGGAGTGATTTTTACAAAGGTTATATAAAAGCTGGCTTCCAGTTCCTCATCTCCTGTGTCTTACCTCACTAAACAGTCAAAGTATAACCAGTTCCTAACTTTGAAATGTAATTATATTGAATTTGGTTCAGTGCAATGAATTGACCTTATAGATCATTTTGTCGCATTAACGTGATGTTTCTGGGTACATCATAGTTATATTTGTCCTCATAGGACTTGATCAGTTGGTTTTGATTTCAAATGATTGCTGTCCAGCTGAAACTTAAATAATGAGTTTGAATTTCTCTCTTGATTCTTTAACTGAGCATATATCTCCCCTCCTCTTGAATATGGCAGTATGAGGCCTACAGAGTTGCTTTTGTCTTCTGCAGTTTGATATCTATTTCATGGTTTAAAACAAAGCCTTTGGCCTAATTTTTATGATTTTTCCCACCTGAACCATTATTACCTAAGTAGTTTTGGTTCAATTCAAGTGGAAGCCTTTGCTAAATATATCAGATGTGACCTCCTGGACTTAGAAGATGGGCAGAGAGCATATAGAGTTGTTTAACCCTGGGCATGCTACCTTAATTGTCCTTATTGTCCTTGAATAACTGTCTTCTTTTTATGTAATTTTTCTCTTTAAGTCAGAGCATGAGAGAGAAATAAAAACACAATAATATTCTGTACATCTGGGAAGCATGCAAAGTATTTTTTTAATTCTATTAAAACACAAATTCTTAATTTTACTGTCACACTTTTATTTGTTTTTCATCAAAAAGGTGATGTTTGTGTGGTTTCACGGTTGAAAAAAAAGCACAGGAATCAAATCTTGTGAATTCAATTTCTGGCTTACTGAATAAATGTACAATAAAGTGTTTTCCTCCTTTTTCTTGTCAAGAAAATTGTGTAGCGGGTAAAAACCTTTGCCTTTTTAGAAGGTCCAGTATCTACAGAAAGAGGAGATACTATCTCTGTGAAATAGATTACAATATTACGCACAGAATGCTGCTAATATTTATATTAAACATAAAGCAAATAATTACCTAATAATTCTATTCACCAGACCAAAAAATTCTCTTATCTGTAGTCATCATGCCTTATTGCCTTTGTTTAAAACCAAAGATTGTGTTTTCAGTTCCTCCCTTTTCAAGTAAATGATGTGCTTCCTAATATAAAAGAGTTCTAGCAGCTTTCTTTACCTAGAGAAATGCATTTCATTTGGCTTCAGTTAAGAATCACTTCCATTTTTTTTTTAAATCTGAGATAGAAAGGGTAAATATATTCTGATCTATAACCTTACCGGAAACTATAGAGGTGTGTATGTCATTTTTTATTATGCTTTTTAATGCCCAACAGACATTTTCAGTAAATTTGAGGCTTACTGCAGACCTGGAATTATTCTTTGTTGCGTATTAAACTAATTGAGTTGAATACTCTTTTGTTCCACTTCACATAGAAATTGTAGATTATTCATCTCAAATGAATGAATTTTAAATTATTTAAACTTTACATTGCTAGTATATGACCCTCTGAGACCGTTTTTAAGAAACAGATCATTTCCTCTAGACATTACAGGTTTAATTTGTTTTAGATACAAATACCATTTATCTTGTATTTTTTAAAAAATACATGCTTATGTTGTTTATTATACTTTGATAGATTTTCAAATTATTTCTATTTTTCTTTAAAATAAGCCTGTTTAGAAATTTTGATAGCTAAATATGAAAATCTTGTGCCTTTTAAATCTTGATGGATGAACACTAACTATCTCTCCATGGAGTTTAAATGCCTAAGTATAATTGTCCTGATGCAAATCATAACGTCTGCCCCAGAACAAATTTGTGATTTTTTTACCCGAGTATTCTGAAGTTTCAAATACCTATCTCCTTATTTTACTCAGCAACAATCTGCAACTTATTTTTCTCCAGGAAAATTGAATCTGTTACTGCTTAATATTCTTACCAGTTTGAAAAATGTGGTTTATATTGGCATCAGAGCAGTAATTTACATATATTGGGATAACAAGAATGCATGCCAGAAAAAGATCAACATAAAATGAAATGCAGAAAAGCTGTTTTCCTTCAACAGCAACTCAAAGTAAAGCTAATGGAGAAATTGATGAGCCTCTGCCCTGAATGCGTCACTTGTTTCTTGTAGGTGAAGTGTGACCAGTATTGGCCCAGCAGAGGCACAGAAACCCACGGACTGGTCCAGGTGACACTGCTCGATACCGTGGAGCTGGCCACGTACTGTGTTAGAACATTTGCACTTTACAAGGTTTGCTCTTTGTCTTTTCTCCTCCCTCCCCATTATTTAAAGAAAACTTCTTTTGATAAATCAAATATCTTAAGCCTTTACTTAAATCTTGGTCCCACTGGCAACGGTGAAGAATGAAGTAATTCTTCCATTATCGCCCAACAATTTTTCTCCCAGTCTAGTGATTTATCAGTAAATATGAAACCCATGCTCTGAAGGAAAGTTTCAGCAAATGAAGAATAGATGAAGAAGAACTACTTGTTTCTGTAAAATATAACAGGAGCACTCCAGATGTTCAAACCTGAACCAAGGAATGCTTCTCACCTAAGAATTTAATCTTCCTGAGCAAATAGTTGTCATTTATGAATAGCATGGGGTTTGTATCTCCAAAGAACATGCCTTCTCAAAGGATAATAGGGTGGGAGAGGGGAATTATGATAGACTTTTAACATTATAGCGTTACCATGTTTGTGTTATTCATCATTACCACCGGAGATGAGGAATGCAGAATTTCAGCCAGTGTTCCTATGTCACAGAATGGTTCCAGCGAGAAGAGAGAAGTGAGACAATTCCAGTTCACCGCCTGGCCAGATCACGGTGTTCCGGAGCACCCCACACCTTTTCTAGCTTTCTTACGGAGAGTCAAAACCTGTAACCCTCCTGATGCAGGTCCGATGGTTGTGCATTGCAGGTAAGGACCACAGAAGGTTTTGGAGGAAACCAAGTTAAATTATTCTTTATCAGATATTTTCTTTTCAACTTGTTGACACTGCGGGTAATAAAGCCTTCATGAATAATACAGATCTCTTTTGGTCAGAGGCCTGTACTGTAATAATAGGAAGGATTTCATACAGATGCATATTGAGACAGAAGGCAACAATGACCCATTGCTATTTTTTCTTTAGGGTAAAAATAAAAACAAAATTAAGCATGCACATGACTATAAATATATATAACAGAAAAGAGTGAAGTACTGACTTTTTAATCAGGGTCAAGTTTTACCTCCTATGTGGAGGAATATTCTTAAAACATATTTACATGTATTTTTTCATGAGCTTTTTTGATAGAAAAGTTTTGCTGTTTATAGGGTAGAAATTGTTGTAAGTATACATGTTTTCAGGGAGAACATCATGTTGCCTAAAGACAAATGCCTTTTATACATTATTAATACCAATTCACACATAACAAATATACTAATTTGTTTAATAAAATATATACCAAGGCCTATAGTTTGGAATAAGTACTTTGAGATAATGATCCTGTATTTCTCTTGAAAGGTATAATTTATATTTTTTGCATAATTGTGCAAACACCCTCTACATCACCACTCAGTTTCTATTATTTGTAAGTGTTCACACATTTTTAATATCAACTGATTTTTTTACAGTTGTCTGTTTCTCTCTCAAGTATTGTGACTAACAGACTATTGAAAATGTCTAGTCAGATTCTATATATTACTATTTATTTCTATATAAATATACAGCTCCTATGACTTCTTGATAGTATTTTATTACCTGAGTAATTTAAATAAGAAAAACAAATATGGCTTCTTTAATAGATAAATAAAATTCAAGAGTGGAAGTTTATTTTTTTTTAAAAAAAAAAAAGGACAAGAAAGCATCTGCCATAAGCCACTTCCATCATAAATTAGTAGCATAACTCAGACCCCATATTATCCTACAACATCATATAACAGTTAGGGATCAATAGATACATCAAAATAAAAGTGAAAAAATTCATCTGACTAATTCACACTATAATGGTTCTTGTTAAATAGTGGCCTTGCAAATTCCAAACAAGATGATGTACCTTTTCCAGCAAATGTTTTTCCTGATAAACAGTAACATTAGCATTACATTACGTTTGTGTACAGTATTTCACAAACTTGACTTGAAAGCATTCTTCTTGCTTTATTTTGTCTGAAGTTCATAACAACACGTACAGTCAAGTCAGCCTAAGTGACAGTCTACAGGGTTTATTTGAGTATTGCTACTTAAGAAGACGGTGGGTCAGTCATGCCTCATTATCTAGTTCTTGCTTCCCTACACCCAGGACAGGGCCTTTGAGGACTGGTCACTTGGTTGTAATTTTCTGCATGATTATGAAACATTTAAATTTCTTTTCATTATTTCAGGTAAATACTTTTCCATCTAGAAAGCATATTTGTTTCTCCTACTTATTGCTTTAGTCAAGCATGAATTTGACCAGGCTGTATACTGTTATCTAAACATTTTTCCAGGCTTCAAAGATCCAATGTAACTGGTTACATGGTACCCCTGCTTGTGTTAAAGATCAGACATGACACATGAAATGTTTTAAAATGGAGTTTGGCCAAAGATAGAGACATGGGAAATTTGAGTTGTAGGAGAAATGCTGTCCTCATATGACTAATGTCAAAAATGAAGTTTTCTTTCCCCCACCCATCCATGCACATGTGCATGCACACACACACGCAAAGACAAGTGATTATAGAACCCCTATTAAATAAATGGTATTAAATAGGTAAAATAGGAAGAACAAACATTAGAGAAACCTAACTTGGAAGTTTTTATTAAAAAACAGCATTACAGTGTTTGCATTGCATTTTGAAGTACAGTATCTTCCCTCTCAAAAAGTGTTTCTGTTTCAGTAAAGTAGGCACATAAGAAAACTGAAATAGATAGGCAGTCTTAAGATTAAATCTGCCTTCAGCTGATAATAAGCAAGGTGTGTATGCTTCACATTGGCCACTAGGAGGGATCCAAAGAAGTTTGCAAGCCAGGAGGAGAGAAAAGATAGCTATGATGCCTGATTTTGATAACATACATCACACACACGAAGGCACCTCTGTGTAGTGGTATCAAGCCACCTGGACTCACCTCTGAGATATGCAGGCTGCTCAGGAGAAATAAGGAAACAAAGATGAATGTGAAGAGCTAATAGCTGCTGACATTTGGAAGTGCCATGCCTGAGGCTCTGGAGAAGCTGTGTATTGAAACAAAAGGAGAGTAGGTGTATTGATGGAAGAAATTTGTTAGCAACTTCAAAACGATAGGGGAAAGATACAGCATATTTTATATAAATGGAGCTGTGTTCACCCATAGGTAATTTCATATGTCTGGTAAGACATGTTGGCCTCTGCGTAGAGGTCCTGTCAACATAGTATCCAAACCATCATGAGTCCTTGACTTGGCTACAAGTATGCTAAAACTTGAGAGCATAATGTTTCAGATGGAGTAGCAGATTAATGTCATTCTAAACAACAATTACTCATGTGGTGTCCCAGCAATGTTAGTTTAGAAAAATTAAAGCTATTTCTAAATAACAATTATCCATGTGGTATCCCAGAAACTTAGTTTAGAAACCATCTCTAAGCAGTAAGAAACTAAGCAAAAAGCCACAATCACCAAGTAACAAAGGGGCATAGCTATGATCATGTTACAAATAATCATGAAAAGCACCCTGAATAAATACTTTATTTCTTGTTTTGATTTCTCTTTCAGTATACCTGATTCTTTTCTCTCTAAAGAACTAGCAACCAACTCAGAGTTAATCTAAACTTTCCATCAAACAGATTCAGGGAGAATGCAGGAGAATTCAGAGGAAATCTGGTAGTATCCAGAAAATTGGGGCTTCACATTTCTCCCATTGTTCTTAGAGTAATACATGCATTAGGATTAATAAGAACCATTAAGTAGTGGAAATTCTAGCAATAATAAAAAAGAGTTATAGGGCTAACCTAGTGCAACAAGCACAGACAACAGTCTTAATGTTGAAAGTGTGCACTCTGGGGAAATTCATGTGGGAAAAGGCCAGCTTGTTTAACACATTGGTTTTGTGCCTTTGGGGAAATTATTTAATCGGTTAGCCTCTGTGTCTTCACTTACAAAATGATGTAACACTATTTATAGCAGTAAGAGTTTCATGAAACTCAAATGTAATGATATGTAACGACACACATACAGCACTGAGGTCAAGGCTTGCTGTTTAGAAGTTTGCAGTAGTGTTGAATTATTAGTAATTCATTATTGAGTGAGATTTAAGAACCATATGGACATTTAAAATGCTAAGGAGAAGAATACACCATGAATGCACATATCATCTGCAACCAGATATTGATAAATATCCAAATAAGTAAATTAAATGGATTTTTTAAAATTTTGACTTTTTTATTGTAATACATCATATTTTTCTGAGGAACAGAATATTTTAATGCTGTGAATTAGATTAATAACAAATCTGTTTTCGTAAACACATGTAAAACCACCAAACTCTGAAAATGGTGCTATTCAGGACATGTGGAACTCAATGCTGTGGTTCTTGTGCTTCTTCGAGATAAAGTCTGAACTTCTTCTAATATTCATGGTCCTATGTGACTTAAGCTGATTTTGCCCTTCACCCATCCTTCATTGTTTGGGCCACCTACATCAGCTACAAATTCCTAGGACCTTCACCCTTGACGTTCAGCAAGCAGTATTTATGTGGCCTGGAACTCAAGTACTCCCCCTTCTCTCCTAGGGGATATTCAAACCTTTTTCATAATCCAACTGAAGTAGCACTTCTAATATATGGCAAAGGATGAAAGCTGGTTTCATATGGTTTTGTTGATATATATGGTAACTTTATTCAACTCTGAGCAGGAATTCATTAAAATAGGAACACACTAACCACTTTTTCAAACCATCCCTTTTCTATATTGTTTTACCTACCTCTAAATTTATCTGTCTGTAGCATTGCTTCTACTTATAGATATTTGAGTTAAAACCCAGGAGAAGCCTTTTAAGCTCATTCCCCATTCCTCTTCACATAAGAAAACTTAACCACTTTATTGTCTGAACTCTCCTAAAACAGGTTCATGTTTAGCATGTGTATAGGTCATATGTGCCTTGGAAGCATAGAGTATGAGCTTAGCTTATGTGCATTTGTGCCCAAGCTCTTACACCACTGTACCATGTGCCCAATAATCAACTCTTCGAGTTAGTGGCATTCCATATTTTAGAATTTTTTTACAAAAATAAGTGAGATAGTTTCAAAGCTGGGCTTTTTTTTTCTTTTAACATAATAGGCTATAAGCCAAGTATGGTGGCACATTCCTATAATCCCAGCTACTCAAGAGGCCAAAGCAAGAGAATCAAAAGTTTAAGCCCATCCTGAACAACTTAGTAAGATCCTATCTCAGGGTAAAAAATAAAAAGGGCTGGGACTGTAGCTCAGTGATGGAGCACCACTACATTCAGTCTTCAGTATTTTTTCTGTTTATGTCTTTTTACCTGTGCTATGGCTTTTACCACCCAATCATCCTTGTCAGTACGTATGTTATTATCCCATTTCACAGAAGAAAAACCAGAGGTCAATACAGGTCAGTTTACTTGCCTGAGCTCATGGCACTAGTGGTGGTAAAGCCATCATATGTCCTGGGTTGCCTCTAGACCAAGAACATTCTCAAGTCTTTAGATCTCTTTATAGTTCTCTCTTCCCCTTCTGCTGCCCACTGGTAGGATACCTCACTGTCCATCCCTCCCTGATGACCTGGTGAGAATGAGTCCCTCTTCCTTTTCTGCCTCCACATCACTTTGCCAGATTCTAGCCTTTCTTTCACTCTGTCTATATCAAAGGCAGCTGCTAACATGTGATTCTCTTTTACCCCTGTAATCATTTTAACATAAACAGTCATAATAGCTAGCAGTTACTGAGCCATTACTGTTTCACAAG